CTAAAATTTAAAAAATAAAACCAACTTTTTACACATACTATAATGGAGAATTTTATAACAATGTAAAGTCAACTATTCAGAGAACCAAACATCGCTGCTGCGAGAAACAGTGAGCATCGAAGTCATCAAAACCGAAGCAGTGGTAGAGTGATACGGCAGCATCGATTCCAAGCAGAAACACGCTTCAACTGGACACCTGAAAATACAGTTGGAGAGAGGAACCCTTGATGAGACACGGAACAACGATGGTACAACGCTGGATTGTGGAGCGAATCGAGTCGCAGTGTTGTGAGCTGAACTTGATCGAAAAACTTTTATTCCTTCGGGTGCTCCAAGGATTTGGAAGCCTTTCCAGACCAGGTGAAGTAGAGTAGGGGAATAAGTATAAATGGGAAAACGATAATGGATCGAAGGCTAAAATAAAAGAAAGAACCCTCTTGCCCAAATCAATGGCTTATTCCAATATCTGTCTCTGTTACCTTCCCCCTTTCTTGCCTTTAAATAGCCTAGTGATTGGCTATATTTAGAGAAGTTTTAGAGTCCCACTTGGACTCAAATGCCTCAGTTTTTAGTGTTTCAATCTGACTCAAATACGTTGGTTTGTTTTCTGAATCCCACTAAATCGGGGTTGTTAAATCGTGGTGGTTGAGTGTGGGGCTTGCAAAAATAATAATAAAATAATAATAAAATAAATAATAATAAAATATTTTTGTAGAAACGGACAAAAACGAGTGTCTACATGGTGTCAATAACAACACCCGTCATTCATCATATATTTTCCTTTATAAAAGTTTTGATTTAGGTGAATCAATAGGAGGAGGATGTATGTAAACACTTAATTTTATTCAATCTTTTAATTTTATTTGGGAGAAAATAATGAACCAACATTATTTATATTTTAAAAAAAATGGTTTTCAAAATATTTCTTTTAGAAAAATGATTTCATCACCAACAAATTAAGATAACACGAAAGGTGAATCATCTTATAGCATTAATGGGTGCAATGGCTCTTTTATGACTGAATTTACAATTTTGTTCCATGAGGTTTCTTAGAAAATGAAAACAACTAAAGAGTTTTTTCTCAAAATATTATCAAGTTGTCTAGTATCAACTTTATTGATGGAACAAGTTTATCCTGTTTGTCATTGATGGCTTATCTTTTTTAGTTTGGACGGAGAGTCATAATCGTTGAAGATTAATTTGACTGTGAGCCTGGGGTTGATCCTTGTGAGGAGAGGGAATGAAGGTAGAAGAAGATGATTGGTCTAGGTGAGACAGATTAGGTTTGTTTGATGGATTTATATGTTGACCCTTTAATGATTGGTGTCAGCCCTAAGATATCATGTCTGTTAATACTAGTGTGAGCTTTTGATCAAGTCGAGTAAATTTTTTTTCGAGTTATTCAAGTTGACAAGTTCTATTTTATAACTCAAAGTTGACTTGAATTTTTTTTTCGAGTCGAGTCGGACCGAGTCGAATTTTTGAGTTTTTGTTTAATTTTAATTGTAAATATTTATAATATTATGATATTATTTTATTCCAATTTAAATGGGTTTTTAATAACAATATATATATATATTCATATTTTTTTCATATGTGGTATACATATATCATATAAAGTCGAAGAACTCGACATAAACTTGAAAATCAATCCACTAATTATTAAATATTTCGAGTTGTATTTTACAACTCGATTTGAATTTCAAATTTTTTCAAGTCGAGTCGAGTTTATAAAAATACAACTCGAAAGTCAATTTGTGTTTTTTCGGGTCAAGTCGAGTAAAAAATCAATTTTTTGAGTCGATATTTACTCACTCCTAGTTAATAAAATGTCAAACTATAGCAAATATGGTTGTCAACTGTTGGTTCTGTCAAGAATGATGTCAAAAACTGAGGAGTATAACTTGGAAAAGCGATTCTAGCGAAAGATGGTTCTACTGAGAGTAAGGTGTCTCCGAGAACTTCTAGAGACTCTTCTTAGAGAGAAAAGTCTTCCAAAGATTTTTGTTAACGAAAATTTGATACTTTCCAGAGGATCTTCTCTAGACGTATAATAAACTTATTTAATCTATCCTTATCTTTTTCGATAGATAGGTTTGATTCGTGTGAACGATATTGATTTATCTTTCAAAAAACACTAAACTTACTCTATCAACTTACTTTCCAATAAACATCTTGACACAATCCTGATTGGTAGAGTAAAGCTCCACTTCTTCTGCCTAAACATCAGACAAATTTATGAAAGTTTCTTTCCGTAAACTATAACCAAAGCAAAGAAATAAGTCAAACAACTGTGGCAATTCAAATGATGCATAGACTATACAATATTTAGTACAACCCGTTGAAGCCATCAATAGAGCTCATTCAAGCCACCAAGCTTCATCTTGCCCAATCTAATAGGAAAAACTTCATCAACCTAACCTTATTACCAACCACATGACTATTGTGATAATGTTTTCCAGCGATATCAGATTGCTTAAATTTACTAGTTAAAACCGATGATAAGCTCCGTCAAACAAAATTGAGATAGTACTAGGATTGTTGTTTGAGATCGATTTGTTAGAGCTTCTTGCTCCATATCCGTCAGGTGACCAGTGACGAAAAAGATGAACAACAATGGAGGTGTGCTACTATATAAGCTCAAGATAGGGTTTGTGAAGAAAACATATTAAAAAAGGGGTAAATTGATATTTTATCCCTAAACTACTTTGGGTTGAGAAAAAGACCTATGCTTAATATTTTATCTAAAGTTCAGGGGTTAAAATAAAAATTAAATCTTTTTACTAACGTATCACATCTTCAAACTAACGGCAACTTACATCTCAGTGACCAAATCTTAATAAAACGATAACGTAAGTGACCAAAACTTATGTATTTTAAATTTAGTTGAGTAAGAGTATACAAATAGTAAACAAAAGTGATCAACCATTTAATTTACCTTTAATTATAATACAATTAATTTCGTACATCATTAATTTTATTATTTTCACTTTTTTCATGTATTTTAAATATGTTTCATTCATGACATTCAATTTTAAATATGTTTCATTCATGATATTCAATAATGTCATTGCATAGCGTATTTGATTTAAATTAAAAATATTATTTTATTAGAATAATAACGAGATCGTCTCCTAAATAATTGAAGTGAAATATTCGTTAATTGTTTTTGAAACAAAAGGACATTTTTTAAAACCATGTAAATTATATAATTTAATTCTGAAATGAAGCTAATTTTGTTTATTTCCAAATAAAATGCAATCTTTTTTATATTAACTTGCATGAATAAGGTTCGCAATTTAAATTTGGTTTGAACTTGTAATTACACTACTAAAACAACATAATCGACTCTCGAATCTATTTATTTTTATTCTCTAGTTTTTAAATGTGGACTTGATAAAATTATCTTTAGAAACAAGATTTTCAAGAATCTTTCTTTTCAAAAATAATTTTATAAGTATTCCACCACATCTAACTCCAAAGAGTGACGATTTAGTTTTATTTTAAAAATTGAGTTTTTTTTAAAAAATTCGAATATACATATTTTCAAACAAAAATCATCGAATTTAAAGACTATTTTGGAAAAACATATTGGGTTCGGTTTAAGCCCAAAATTAAATAAGTTATTTTTATCGAGCTTTAAATTAACACATTTATTAATCAAAGTCCATAGCTACTATTTGGGGCATGTGGAAAAGCAGGAATGAAAGGATTTTTTAAAGTTATGAACGTTGATCAATTTAAAATTATAAATTCTGCAAAACAGTTTGCAAGGGATTTAGAGAGGTCCTGTCAAACTCGTATAGCAGAGTGGTTAATGATCCTTGTTGGATTAAATGGAAAAAACCTCATGAGGGAAGTTGGATTCTTAATACTGATAGGGTGTATAAATTGAATTCAGGCCTAGCTACGACAAGTGGTTTAATCCGAGACAGTAATGGTGATTAGAAAGTGGGTTTCATGTTGAGACTAGGGAGGGTTACTAGTTCGATCGCGGATATTTAGGGGGCTCGACAGGGTCTCATTTTGGCTAAAAGTCTTGGTTTACGGAATTTGATCCTAGAGATGGATGCTAAATGGATTGTAGACTTCTTCAATGGAGATAGGATGGATGATTGATCTGGTCAATGACTGTTTAGAAATGATAAAGGAAGGATATATCTGGATAGAGGGGAATAAATGTGCTGATAAGCTGGCGAATCTTGCGCTTACTCAAGGAGAAATTTTTTTCATTTTGTGGTCACCTCCAAATGAAATGCATGAGTTATTAGGAGCCGACAAGAACGAAGGGAGCGAGTTGCGATTTTAGACTCTTGTTTTCTCAAGTGTATCAAAAAAAAAAAATCAAAGTCCATAGAAAACACACAAAAGTTGAAGGACAGAAACCTTTGCTTAAACCCTTGAAACTGTTACCAAACTGCCAGAGCAAAAGGAACAACAGCAGCGGCGGCGGGGACAATGGTGAAATCCTATCTAAGGTACGAGCCGGCGGCTTCCTTCGGTGTAATTGTATCTGTTGAATCGAATATCACATACGACAGCTCAGGCAAGCACCTTCTAGCTCCGGCTCTCGAGAAGGTCGGTGTTTGGCACGTCCGTCAAGTCGTCTGCACCAAAACTGTCTCCTTCTGTTTCCTCTCGCGGCTCCTCTCTCTTCGTAAACTGTGTCGTCTCCTCCCCTTCTTCACTGGTAATTTTTTTTTTCATTCTCTTTCCTTTATCATTAATTGTAATGGATGCTCCGTTTTATTTTGTAGCTTTGATTGAAGCAATACCTGAAAGTTTCGTTTAGATATAATATATATTCTTTTCTGAATAATAAACTTGCCGGATGTTGTTTTCCCATTGATAAATTAGGAACTTTTAAAAAATTGTGAACTGTAATAGTAACAACCAAATGGAGTCTTAAAGTGCTTCATGCATTCTTAGCGATTTTCATAAAAATTAGTATGAGCGAATGAAAATAAGGTTTAAATTGCAGGTGGCAAGTGGTTATGCTGATGGTAGTATAAGGATTTGGGATGGTGATAAAGGGAAGTTGTGAGACTACATTGAATGGACATAAAGGGGCTGTGACAGCTTGAAGGTACAATAAGGTTGGATCTTTACTTGCTTCGGGAAGTAAAGACAATGATATTATATTGTGGGATGTTGTTGGTGAGACGGGTCTTTTTCGCCTTCGTGGGCATCGTGATCAGGTTTGTCATTTGTAAATCTTTTTATTAAAGTTAAGAACTTATCGTGGTATTTGTTAACTGTATATGTTTTAATTTCTTTGCATTTTGCAACTTGCAGATCACGGACCTTGTTTTCCTTGATTCTGATAAAAAACTTGTTACTTCTTCCAAGGATAAATTTTTGCGAGTGTGGGATCTTGAAACTCAGCATTGTATGCAAATAGTTAGCGGCCATCATAGTGAAATTTGGTCTATTGATGTTGACCCGGATGAAAGATACTTGGTCACTGGTTCAGCAGATCTTGAACTCAGATTATTTTACAATGAAAAGCATGAGTTGATGAGTGGAGAGTCTATGGTGAATGTAACTGCGGCTAAAACTGGGAATGACCGTGAGTTATCTACTCAAAATAAGTGGGAAGTTCTGAAGCCCTTTGGTGAAATTACGCGACAAAGTAAGGATAGGGTTGCGACTGTGAGGTTTAGCAAGTCGGGAAATCTGCATGCTTGTCAGGTGGCAGGAAAAACTGTTGAACTATTCCTTGTACTCGACGAAGTTCAATCCAAGTGCGAAGCAAAACAAAGAATTAAAAACAGGAAGAAAGAGAAGAAGTCTGCAAAAATGGAAGTTGAAGAAACTGAAAATGTGGAAGCAAATCATGATACTGAAGGAGCTGGGAATACATTGGTTGTTAAAGTTCCTGATGTTTTTAAGCTTCTTCCAACTATTCTAGTCAGCAAAAAGATATGTTCCATCTCTTTTTGTCCGGTCACTCCAGAGAGTTCACTAGCTAGTTTAGCATTGTCTTTGAATAATAACTTGCTGGAGTTTTATTCAATTAAAAGTGATGGAAGTGAAAAAACACTTTCTATTAATCTTGAGAGAACACTTTCTATTGAGCTTGAAGGACACCGTTCCGATGTTAGAAGTGTCACACTTAGTTCAGACAATAGTTTTTTGATGTCAACCAGTCACAATGCTGTGAAGATTTGGAATCCAAGTACTGATTCTTGCCTTAAAACAATTGATTCTGGCTATGGACTCTGTGGTCTAATTGTACCCCATAACAAATATGGAATTGTTGGCACTAAAGATGGGGAAATTGAAATTATTGACATTGATAATGGTACTTGCAGTGAAGTTGTTGGAGCTCATGGTGGCTCTGTACGGTCAATTGCTACCATTCCAAATGGAAATGGCTTTGTTACTGGCAGTGCAGACCATGATGTAAAGTTCTGGGAATACATCAACCAAAAACCTGGTCAAGTGTGTTCCTCATACCTTCATCACCTACTTCAACATTTTTCAGCATTTAACTCCATTTATTCATATATTTTCCCTAACTCTCATCTTGTTTAGCTTTGCCTTGATACAATGGAATGTATAACACATCCTTTATTACAAATCTAGTCATCATGCTGAGTTAACATATGAGTGATGCTAGGTTGGTCTTTTGATTTTCAGGATTCCAAAAGCCTTACTATATTAAATGTGAGGACTATGAAAATGAATGATGATGTTTTAGTGGTTGCCTTTAGCCCAGATGCTAAATATGTTGCTGTTGCATTGTTCGATTGCACTGTAAAGGTAAGGAATGATCAACTTATTCTTCTCTCTTTTGAATTTACTTTGTCCACTGTTGGTTGGTTTGATGAATTTATTTTGTTGTGGTTTGATGAATTTATTTTGTTATTGTTTTCCTAGAATTTGTAAATGGAAGTGTCGTAACCGGTTTTCGTCCGGGCACGAAATATTAAATTTGGCGGAGAAATTGACGTGAATTAATAATTTTGAAAATAATTTGGGAGTCGCCATCGGCCTTTTGGGTTATGAAGGTCGAATACCTAAAAATTATTTTTTTAAAGAGTTTTAAGAAAACATCAATAAAAAAATGAACTGATCTGCATTTATAACCAAAGATTCGTTCTTTTTAATAATAAAAAGGGATTCGTGGTCGGTTACGTTTAGGGAAGGATTAGCACCCCTACAACGCCCAAAATTGGTACTTTTTAATTATAAATTGTCTCTATTATTAAAAATTTTAAAAATTCAAAATATATTTAATTTATAATCCTATTATTTCAAAATTATAAAAATATTTAAAAATATCGGAAAAGAACTTCTAGGTGCCTTAAGACAACTCTTTTCTTTGATATTTAAATTAAATAATATTTTTTTAAAAAATTTTTTTATTTTAAAATACCAGAATAGGACATCCAGTTGTATTAAGACTGTCCTTTTCTTTGATATTAAAAAATAAATTTTAAAATAATTTATTAAAAAAAATAAATTATTATTTATTATATATATATTTATGAATACATAATAATAAGAATATTTAAAATATAAACAAGTAAAATTAAAACAATAAAAATACAACCAGAACGATATATTTAAAAGCAGTAAAATAAATGAAAATATTTAAAATAAATAACTAAATTATAATAAAAGTAAAATTAAGAACCTAATTCATAATTAATCAAAATTATAGGGATTAAACATGCTATTTTATTTTATTTATTTAGTGACTAAAATAAAATTATCTAAAATTCAGATTTTAGAATAAAATAAATTAAAAATATAAACTAGAGATTAAAATATTAATTATTAAAATTAATGGATTAATATGTAATTTATCCTAAATATATTATTTTAAAAGGACTAAAATGAATAAAATTAAAATTCGAAGACTGAATTAAAATTATTATAAATTCAGTTTAGTGACCAAAATATAAAATTTACAAGTTGGGAGGACTACAGACGGGATTTAACTATTTTTTAATTACGCGAATAGCCCTTCCCAAAACGGCGTCGTTCGGGAAGGGCTATTTAAGCCTAAAATCAGCTGGCCCGAAGGGCCAGTTTTCATTTCTCATTTCCTTCTCTCTCTCTCTAAACCGAGAGAGTTTAAAACTCTCTCGCCTCTCTCTAGCTTCCCTCATCGGAGGGAAGTCGGTCACCGGTCGGTCACCGTGTGCCGCCGTGAATATCGCCGCCGGCCACCGCATCCGGTGGCCGGAGAAAATTATTTTTATACCAGTAGATAGATCGGACCGTCCTAAGGACGGTTCCGGTGTTATTTCCTCCTAAAAATCTCCCAATCGGAGCGAATCTACAAAAGTACCTTCGGTGTTTCGAAGGTTCCGGTGAGATCCGGTGGTCGGGGCTTCTTCGGTAAGTCTCTTCTTCCTTTTTCTTTATTTTCTGGTTCTTTGCTGCTGAGATCGTTGGTAATAGTTTGTATCTTCTCTGTTTTTTTTCTTTCTCTCCGATTCTATCTCTGTATTTTTTTTTGTCTCGTTCTATTTCTCTCTCCTTTTTTTTTTCGCAGATGGGTGGTGGCTTTTATAGCCACCACCGGTGTTCGTCTCAGACCGGTCCGAAGAGGGGGCCTCGGTGAGTCACCGGACTACCAGTGGTGACTCACCCCGTAGCCTTGCATGGACGGCTGGCGTTGATCTTCTGGAAGCATCATTCGGGACGTGGCAGCGGCGGAGGCGGTGAGGGCTTCTGGAAGCAGCAGCGGCGGCGCTGGGACGTGTCCCTAGGGTATAGATACCCTAGGGTTTTCTCTGGCAAATGGTGGACCGTTGGATCAAACCAGATCCAACGGTTGAGATTGAAGATGGCGGCTGGCTAGATACAAACCCTAAATGGTTTTAGGGTTACATATTTGGGCTTTTGGGTTGGGCCGGATTTGGCCCGTTTGTAATAATAATTAATAATAATATTAGTAATAAATAATAATATTAGTAATTATAATAATAATAATAATAATAATAATAATAATAATAATAATAATAATAATAATATTTAAATGAAAAAATGAGTATCTTCAGCTGCCCCTCTTTGCTTTTTTCTTGTGTTAACAAGAATAGAGCAAAGACGAAAAGATAATAAGTTTTTCATTTGACTTAACTTGGATCATAATGGAGATATTGAATAAATTCTTCTATCTCTCCAGATAAGTTCTTCTTATTATGAACTTTCTGCTGGGGATGATGATGACATCCTTTCTGTGATAGAATCATTCAAAAGGTTGAATAAGCTTTTGATGAGTTCTTCTCATTATGAACTTCTTCCTCCTTCTTCAGATGACGAGTTCTTCTCATTATGAACTCTTCTTGACACTGTTGATTCATCAAATGATGAATTCAAACAAAAGGTTGAACAAATTCTTCTCATTATGAATTTCTTCTTCCTTCTTCAGATGAGTTATTCTCATTATGAACCTTCTCTGGCAATGATAATCCATCAAGTGATGAATTCAAACAAAAGGTTGAACAAATTCTTCTCATTATGAATTTCTTCTTCCTTCTTCAGATGAGTTCTTCTCATTATGAACCTTCTCTGGCAATGATAATCCATCTCTTGATGAATTCAGGTAAAAGGTTGAACAAATTCTTCTTATTATGAACTTCTTCTTCCTTCTTCATATGAGTTCTTCTCATTATGAACTTTCTCTGGCAAAGCTGATCCATCAAGTGATGAATTCAAACAAAAGGTTGAACAAATTCTTCTCATTATGAATTTCTTCTTCCTTCTTCAGATGAGTTCTTCTCATTATAAACTTTCTCTGGAAAAGCTAATCCATCAAGTGATGGATTTGAGCAAAAGGTTGAACAAATTCTTCTCATTATGAATTTCTTCTTCCTTCTTCAGATGAGTTCTTCTCATTATGAACCTTCTCTGGCAAAAATGATCCATCAAATGAATTTGAAATCTTTGCTAAAATCTTTGAAATTTCTGTTAACAATTCAACAAGAATAAAAATGAATGAAAATGCATCTATTTTTGCAAATGCCTAAATATGATGCATGAATATTAAGTTGTTTGATTTCAGACTGGTGAATTGAGTATTTCTTTAATTATAAAAACCCAATATATCTGTCTTCTTCAAATCAAAGAATCTATCATCTTTGACAAATGTAGATGTAGATATAATGTCACAAAACCTCTTGAGAATAAAACTCAATAGTATAAACTTTTGAAAAGCTTGCATTCAGGCAACATGTTGATTCTGATAACAACTCATCTGATTATGAAGTGACCTTTCAAGATGATTTCACAGATATCGATAGTTCTTCTAATACCGAAAAATCTTGAATTCTGATTCTGATGAGTAGAATAAACTGTTATACTTGACAAAAATGTGATTCTCATAGGCTGAAACTTCAATAGCTTTCTTCCGGTAAAAGATGAGAAGCCATTATGTGATGATCCCAGTTACAAGAAAAGGCGAAACTTGTGCTATGATTTTTGGGAAAGGAATAATCAAAAGAAGCTTGAAAAGAAACTTCTTAATTAAGACGATCATGCAGTTCATCTTTTAATTCTAATGATTGGTTCTGTAATTCTTACCAAACCAGATCAGATAACTCAAAGAACACTTCCAGAAGATGCTATGAGCACATTCATCTTCCAAATTTAATGATTGGTTTCGCTAAACCAGATCAGATAACTCAAAGAACACTTCCAGAAGATGCTATGAACATATTCTTCTTCCAAATTCAATGATTGTTCTGTCCAACCAGATCAGATAACTCAAAGAACACTTCCAGAAGATGCTATGAGCACATTCATCTTCCAAATTTAATGATTGTTCTGTCCAACCAGATCAGATAACTCAAAGAACACTTCCAGAAGATGCTATTAACACATTCTTCTTCCAAATTCAATGATTGTTCTGTCCAACCAGATCAGATAACTCAAAGAACACTTCCAGAAGATGCCATTAACACATTCTTCTTCCAAATTCAATGATTGTTCTGTCCAACCAGATCAGATAACTCAAAGAACACTTCCAGAAGATGCTATTAACACATTCATTTGTTCTATTTAATGTTTTGACTGGGATATCACAGTACTTATTCGATGTAGAGCCAGAATTTGTAGATTCTAAGTATTTCCATGCTACTACACTGAAAAGGGCTATATTCATAATTCTGCCAATTAAGAACAAATTTTTTTCTTATTCTGCTTCCTCCATGTGCTGATGCTTTTCCATTGACAAAGAAGTGATGGCCTTCCTTCGAGTGTCCAGAAGTATGTTCTTGATGATTGCAGAAAATGGAATCTAGTATGGGTTGGAAGGAATAAAGTTACTCCACTTGAACCTGATGAGATGGAAATGCTTCTAGGTTTCCTTAAAAACCATACACAAGGATCTGTATAGAGACATGTTTCCCAGTGATATCAATGTCTTGTTTCTTTTTGCTGGAATCAGTGCTGCAAAGGTTGTCTTCTACTGTCTTAGTATATTTTTGGAAACAGATGTGCAAGAACTGAATGGTGATCGGTTGGAGCAATTGATGAGTGGATTTGGCGAAACTTGTTATCGGTAGCACCACTTGTAACAATCTTGATGTTCATGGCTTTAAGCTAGTGATGATTTGCCTACTTTGTATTCCATGTATTTAAAAGTATTAACATAAAGTGATATTCAGAAATCTTTAAATTATTTCAAAATTATGTTAATTCAATAGAAAAGAATAAATTGAATTTCCAAAAATAAATTGAATCTCAAATAAATTGAACTTGAAATAGATATAATTGTATTCAAAGTTATGACAAGCATTCAAATGTCTCAACAAATTATAAGCATAAGTATTTCTAAATTAATCAAGTTGACACAACTTAGAGAAATGATGTAAGCTTTTGTATGGAAGATCTCAAACGTTGTCAAAATGCTTGTAGATGTGAAGTTTCTTCAA